ATCTAGTTAACATTAGTGGATAGATTCTGGAGAGAATGATGGTTGGGCAGCTGGTGCTCTCTCAATCCCCAGAATCAGTAGGCACCTGAACACAGGGCTAGATTTTCAAAAATGGTGAGACTACAACAGCTCCTACTGAAAATCAGGCTCCTTTATCTACAGATGGCTTTAGGAGCCTAATGTTAAGCACCTACTTTTGAAAACTAGGATCTGAATATGGAATCCCTTCCACAATAACAGCTGAAGTGGATACTAAATTTACTTAGAAATTAGAGAGGGTTTTTTAATAGTGACAGTCTTCAAGAGTGTATAGGGTCTTTATGGGTGAGCTAATTTTAAAGCTGTCCTCCCTGCATCAGAGCCAGGATGAGCAGTGCATACCCACTGCACCAGCCTACCTTTTTCTTCCACTGTGATGAGCACTTTTGATGTTTTATTTCCAGCTTTTGAGAGGACTGAACAATGGTATTCTGAGTTTTCTGCTACAGCATCTTTCACCCAGCTTAGAATGTGCACTCTGCCATCAGCCAATGCATGAGATTGCTCACTGACACACACTTCTACTTTCTGTCCATTCTTCTTCCAGACAAAACGTGCGTCAGTGGGACCTGTGAAAATGTTAGTTTAATTACTGAAGAAACAACTTGTAAAAAATGAAGAGTGTCAAATGTAGATTAAAGTGTGAAACATTACCATGAAACCCTGGAATTGTGATGACTAGACAGTGCCAGATTCTGGATTTTAGAACATAAATAGCTAAAAATAAGGACTGTTGGGAGGATTCTGTTTGTTCCTATGCTGCTTGAGTGCAGTGTGGTCAGAAGATTGGGGACAATGAGCCAGAGTTGATAAGGTAAGAATAAAAGCATAGCACTCAAACAGAAGAGATTCGCAGGGAATTAAGTGGGAAAGAGATGCCTGGATTCTGACATTCTCACAAGTCGAAGCCACTCCTGGAAGAAGTAACATGATTATAGACTGGACAGTGAGGGAACCTAGGTAATCCCAGGTGCAAGAGGTGCAGCATTCGTTTTCTTGAAATGAAGACCAATACCAAGTACAAGGCTAGGGACTCAGAGCAGTTGAAGATACTGTGTGTAATGAAGAAAACAAAATTAGAGGAGACATCACAAATGACAGCTGGGTCATTAAAGGAAGTGAAAGAACTTGACATCTTTTAGGGTAAGAGGAGTAGAGGGCAAATAGCGGTCTAGCCTTTTTGCCTAATCACCAATATTCATACCATCAGTGAGGAACAGAATGCAACCAAGCCAAAGATTGACATAGTTTTCTTGGTTGCTGTTTGGGATAAAGTAAAATAGTGGCTATCAAAGAAAAACAAATGTAATTCTGCTTAGCGTGTACAGTTAGGAATTTAGCTGAGGCAGCTATAGCCCAGATAAAGAGGGATGTATGCCACCTTCTTCTTTCCATATCTAACAACTTCAGAATAATGGTAATGGATTTTTTTTTTTAAGCAAGTCCTGTTGTGCCCCTGTGACCTATAATCAAACACCCTTAGAGAAGAATAGATGAGGGAATATAACAGTAGTGAGGCAGGTGGTCTTAGGCTTCTTTTTGTTGCCAAGGACAACAAAGGGAGGAGACACCATACTAGAGAGACTTACCTACAGTGCCAGGGGGTGGATTAACTGACCACTGGCATTACCTGTATAATGAGTTGATTTGGATTAGTGATTGTCACATAAGAGGGACACTGACCTAGGTTCAAACAGGCAGACCATATTAGGTAGGCTTTGCATACAAAATAGGGAACTTTCACATTAGCGTTCTACCACCACATCCAATGCAGTAGGCACTGTACATGTACAAAAAACCCTTAGTTCCTACCTCAAAAAGCTTATCTTGGGTTTCAATAGACAAAGTGGAGTGGTCTGCAAGTGAAAGGAATAAGAAAAGCTTACTGTATATTAAAGTACCTTACATGAATGTAAAACAAGGAAGTGATAGTAGTGAGGATGAATGATGGCGATTATGATCTACTTAAAACTTGGTAGGACAATTCTGTAAGAGCAAGATAAAAGGGAAGCGATAGGAGATTGTCACAATATATTTAATAGTACTTAGGCCATTGAGGTACCAACTGACCATCAAGAGTGGGGAGATGAAATTATTTGGGGAAAATATACAATTAACTGAAAATACCCAACCCTCAGCATCTGCCACAGGCCAGGTGTGCAGGAAAACAATGAAAATGAAAGTTTCCTGGACTACTTGCAGGACACTAGTATTTTAGCTTCCCCAGTATCTGTAGGGTAACTGCACACTCAATTTTTTTTTTTTTTTTTTGAGTAGAGCTGACAAGGTCAGGATTAAAAAAAAAAAACAAAGACCACATCAATCCTGCTTCTGTGACTAATAATTAAAAGGACTGTTGGGACTAATGCCCACAAGAAACTTGAATTCAGTATAGTAGTGAATGGGGCAAAGAGATTTTCTCACTATTCTTTCTGCTGGTCCCAGATGTGTTGTCAAAGTCCAAGGATATTTTGATTTCAGAAAATCAAATCTAAATTTTTAAGTCTAAGATCCTGATTCTTCAAAGCCTTATGTAGTTTTACTGATTTTTCTAGGCGAAAAAGAGTGATTTATTGGCCTAGGTGCCATGCATACCTCGGCCATTGTATTAATAGTAATATTGCAAGAGATTTTATTTGCAAGAAGAATGCAGAGTAACAAGTTAATGTAGCTTTTACTACCCCTGGAAATGGAGAAGGGAAAACTGATCCACCGCAAATACGGAAGATCAGTTTAAAAAGAAAAGTTGATTCCAACTAAAAGATTACAAGGCATAAAATGGACTTTTGCAAATGTCAAGATAAAAAAACTCTTGGAGAGGGAAAGTCCATTGATACAGTGGAAGGGGTAAATTTAGTAATGACTTAAACAGATGAGGAAATTAGTTGCTTTTCCAAAATGTATTAAAAAGAGACATTGAAATTTGACCAATTGAAAGTCTAGAAATGCTTGTTAAGAAGAGCAAGCTAGAGAATACAGTGGAAGTTTGAACAGAGAACAGGCTATTAGCTAATTGGTTTACTAGTATAACACACTTCATTTTATAACATGTCCTATAAGAATTCATGTGACCTTCTCTATTCTTATCTTCCCACACAGCTGGCATCGTATCATAAATATTACTGATCAACTAAATTTAACCATTTGTTGCTTTTGGCAGTGACCTAACCCAGAAAGGGGAAAGCAAAATACTAAGCTAATAATTTGCGTGGTTCGCTATTCAAGCTTTTCAACCGTTGCAATATGCATTTTCTTTTAAATAAGCTAGTGTAAAACTGTTCGGTGTACTCAAGTATCACAACGGGTATGTAGTGTACAACAAGCCATCCTAGATAATACTAGCTAACTCTTCTCAAGACGTTGCAAATATACCAGTGTCTGGATAAGTATATATTTCCATGCAAAAGTAATTGTACTACAGAAGATCAAGATGACCGGCACGAGAAACAACATAAGTGGCATACACAAGATGACGAAGCAATTTATTCCCTCTCCTTCAAACTCCTAATTTGATTCAAAACACAGATCTTCACTCATCCTCTTGCTCTTTGGAAGAGATGGTCCAGTGATTAGGGCCCTAACTTGGGACTTGAGCTATCCAAGTTCAGTTCCCTGCTCTATCAGACTTCCTGTGTGACTCTGGACAAGTCACTCTCTCTGTGCCTCTGTTCCTGATCTGTAAAATGGCTAAAATACTTCCCCATCTCACAGGGGTGTTGTGAGGACAAATATGTTAAAGATTGGCAGGTACCAAGACACCACATAAGCATTTAAGAGTGTAATTTTCAAACAACAAATGGATTCATAGTAGCTTAGTTACTAACTTTACCAAGTTTGATTTGAGCTACTTATTATCTTGTCCTCCTAGAATGTCCCTTTTTCCTAGAGTAGTGGGTGGGCCATATCATGAAACAGCACGATCAATGCAAACGACCATTTCCTGCAAGCTTATTTTCAATTAATTAGAAATGCAAGTCAGTGTGATTTCACGCTATTTCCTATTTATATCGAAGTGCCTGCTCTGCTTTCATTACCAAAAACAGTCTGTTCTTAAAAATCATAGTGGTTTTGGAAAGGCTTCAGAAGCTTAAAAAAAAAAAAAAAAAGACTGTAGTTTCCCAAAAGAAACAAAGTTGGGTTTGGCAATCCCTTCAGAAACTTCCTTGTTCTGGTTATCTCACAAGGAGCGTGATCCTGGGTCAGCACTCCGGGGAGTCACTGAACAAGTGACTACTTTGCTGTCTTCCCACAAACATTCATCATACGCACAGTCGACAGTGCTGGGATTTCCCACACACACTGCAAAATTTGTGCACGTCAAACTTTTACAACAAACAAGGATGCAAACAACATGTTTGTGCCCTTTTTGATCTATTTGGGAAAGAAATCTTTACTGGCCTTTCTGCACATTTCACGGTAGTTCAGTCCTGATTCTCTAATTTAATCATTTCTTCCACTGTAGTACTTAGTTTCATTTGCTCAGCTTCCCCGAAGCACGCAAAAGATTAAAAAACAATTGCTATGAAACATCTTAATGTAAGCCAGAAGTTGTGGAGATCAAGTACTATATTATGATTTGCATAAATCTTGATTCAAACACCTATTATGTGTAACTTAGCTTTAATCCTCCAGAATTTCCTCTGGGATAAATATCACTTATAGAAACAATGTAATGGATTCAATGAAACAAATGTCTGCTAAAGTTTCTTGCAGATATGTGCTGGTGAATCCAATAGAAAGGACTATGCTTCTTTTTAAATTAGGTGATGATACAAGATGATAGAAGCATTGATACTGCTGAGAAATAGTTGGCAATCAGGTGCCAGAACTAGAAAATTCATAGTTTCCTTTTGTATTTATGAATTGGATATAACACAGATTAAATACAAGAGAATTGCTCACTGAGTGACCATAGAATTTCATATCTTGGGGTCTTCAAACATATTTAAACAAATACTTACATTCAGTTGTTATCCTCTCTTTGTGAGTGCTTGAGATTAAAAAAAGTTATAAAATAAAAGGATCAAATTAATTCATAATAATAGGAGTGCAATACCCATCAGAAGCCATTCTGCATGTGTAACCATCGATATAGTAAAACCAACCCTAGGAAATGGACTTTTCAGGGGTGTCCTCTCAAAGCCATTGTTTCAAGCAAAGTTACTAGTTACTGAAAGCCATTAACACTTGAACAACTATTTGGAGATTTACTTGAAAGGAATAAAATTAATGGTCTGTCATATATTCACATAGAAAACCCCCCACCCACCACTCTCCCAACAAGCATGCGTCTTGAGACTGAACTATTCTTTTCCTCTAGAAAGCTCCTCCTGGTCAGTATGGAGTCATTGGGTAGTGAAAGGAAGCTTGCATTACCTGTGTTATGCTTGTGTGCATATATACAAGGCTTCATTTTCCAGGGCTGCCACCCAAGTACATTTCACGCAAAGCCAACATTTTCAGACTTAACACCTTTGAAAATCAGAAATGTAAAGTGAACAGGAGTTGGGGGAACATTAATGGGAGCTGCAGATCCTCATCACCTCCAATTCAGGTCACTTTTTAGGTGCCTATTTAGGGATTTAGGTGCCTAACTTTAGTCACTGAAATTTGAAATGTTCTAAATTCCCTTAAAAAATTACAGTCTTAAAAAGCAGAGTAAAAAACTCTCCAAAGTATGAAGAATACAGCTGCAGACGTTCTACTGACAACATGCAAGAATAGCCTTAGAATACTATGGGCTGTTCCAATCAGTAAATTGATAGTAGAATTTAAGGGTTCACTGTATATATACCGAATCCTGAAAGAGAGTGCAGTCTGCTTCCAAAAAACCTCTGAGATACTATTTTAAACAGAGCTCATCAGAATGAGCGGTTTCTTTGACACGAGAAGCAGCAGTAGGAGAAAGAAAGATTGCCTGAAGGAGAACACTGGAGAATCCTGGCTCCTGTGGTCAAATGGCTGCCATGTAAAAGAGGGGAAGAAAGTGAGTGTCCACCACTTAATGAGCCACTTAAAGATGCATAATGCAGAAGCCAAGAAATGCTGTCACACTGCCACTACACCATTTAATATAATATTTTTCGGTTATCATGCTATTCCTGGAGCTAAAATGATGAAGCTTAGATCAGGTCTCCCTGAAGGTCACTCTAAGATTATCAAGGATGGAAATTAAATAGGAAAGGAATGTGGCTAGTAATCATGTAAAAGCAAAGAGTGAGCTGCTAGCAAGAATAAACAGCTTAGAGCTGTACCTACCTAATCTCTAAAAGTCACCAGTGAATTGATAGCCAATCAACTTTACTGATTAATCAGCACCGGCTGCAAGGGAATTCACCTCAGAATAGAAGGGCTTTTGTACTAGCCTAATGAAAATATACCCTGGCATCTCAGGTGTGTGCTAAAGCAGGATAACAAGGAGGACTCTTTGTACTGATGGTTGGAATGATGAAAGAAAGGCACTATAGAGAGAGCCAATAGAAAAGGGTGTCATTAATGAATGGTGTACAGGTATGGACATTGCTGTCCTAAAACAGAAAATATATACAGATAGAAGACATGTGGCTGGCAGCCATGGAGCCGGTTCAGAAAAGCCATACAGGAACAGTGACATTTCTTAATCTCAAAAATGAGAGACATCTGGAGTAACAGCTGGTGTCTGGTCTACAGGTTTGGTTTGAACTGGACATATTGTAATGCAATAAAAAAATTAATGCATCAGGACCATTTAGGAATCCCTCATCCAAAACTAGGATTAGGTTTTAGCAAACTGTATAATCTGGTTGCAGAAAAAATGATCAGGAGCCACAGGTCAGAAAAGTGAAAGGCAAGGTTAGTCCTTCCAAAGCAGTGAACAGAAGAAGAGAGCATGCGTCAGGTGGAGCAATTCCTGTTCCATTAGAAAGGCAACTACCAATACTATACTTTGAACAGTAGGTGAATGAAAACTGGGTGGTAGGCTGAATGATTCTCTATCTGGAAACTGTGTAAGGGCTAGGTGGGAAGAAGAACTCTTGAGTCACAGGCTAGCTGATAATGAACTGGCAAAACTGAAGCAGACATAAGAGCTGTGATTCAGCAACCCCTTGTGAACAAGAAGTAAGAAAACAGGGCAGTTGCAGACGGAGAGGAAGTTTCTTGACATTAACAGATTGCAACAAGTCCAGAGATATGACCTAAAGTGTGGTCTGCTGTTGTGCTTTCCGGATAATGACAAGGAAAACGTTTGTATGGAGGTAGAAGCTCCTTACTTTTCCAGAAGAGAAAGTGGATTAGCTTGAATAGAAGCTAAAGTTACAAAGAGAAACATAGGAAAACAGATCTCTCCAACTCCTGGACAGAGGGTTCATTATGTATCATAAGTTACTGTTTGTTTCAATTAGCAGCCAATTCATATCTAAAGAACACAACCTGCTGCTTGCACAAAACTGGACTGTTTGTTAAATTACTGCTAAATGTACCGAATAGCAACACTGAAAATGTGTTGATGTCAGCCTTATGGAAAAGATTAAACAGGTTGCACGTGAAATGCTGCACATGCAAGCTAAAAAAATAGGTCTCTTGTGGGAAAAAATATCCAGTCACCACTACACAATACACATATATGAATATAAGATCAAGCATCTAACCTGAAGATGGTAAAAAACGCAAAGAGAGCAAACCAGAGGACCGCTGACTTGTCTACAAGGCTGGAAAAGTCAGTCCACTTACGACCTATTGCTTCCAGTGTGCCAATAGTATGTGTTTAGGTATCAGCTAGGTGGGTCCAGGAAGGGTCTCACAAAAGGAAACCTACATAGTTGCCTGTAAAAGATAATACATGTTAGAAAGTGGAACACTAGGGATTAGTGGGATTACATCGTTTCCAGACTGGGTTTTCTAATTTAAACTACTCTAACAGTTTGGTAGCCTCTTGCATCTAGTAGCAGGGATAAGATGTTCATTTTTTAGTTTAGAGGTAAGGCAAAATAAAGTTCAGCTCCCCAGACAGTTTATGGAGAGCATCTTCATAGTCACTGGGGCCAATTAGGGAAGAAAAGCATGTACCAAAAAACCCTCTAACTGTGGTGCTCTAAAGTGAAGAAGGGAATATGTCCCATAATTTTACCTTAATCTTTTGGAGGAGAGGGGATATGGTGTGAAGGTGGCTGGAGAAGGGCAGAAATTGAGTTGGATCCTTGCTGACGGGGGACGAGGTACATAAACCCTATATACAGCAGGTGAGTGATTTCAACAGGAACAGTAAAAGTTAATAGGATTTACTCAGGGTCCAGATAATGGAAATACCAGCAGTCTGAGAGGCAAGAATTTTTCATTAAAAGAGCTGATCCTAGCTGGAGGCAGAAAATTAGGTCTTCATTCATATACATGATCCAATACTAAGCAAGGACACCTAATCACCCTTTCTAAGAGAGAGAACATGGAAGCTGGCAAAATATATTCTGTTTATAGTCCTCAAATGTTCTTAATATAATGCCTCATTGCTGCAACATGGGTCCAGACAGGTCACTGATCAGTAATGCATTTTACAATCTAGGACTGTGAAATCCAAATTCTTATGGGTGCCAAGGGCTTAGCAATAAATCTTGGCTTGCTAGTCTGGTCTAAGACACTACAGAACCTATGAGATACATGTTAGGCATGGAGGAGGAGATCAAAGAATGGTTTAAGAACTTTATCTGTATTACAAAAGAAGAGAGAGGCTAAGATATGAAGTTTAGTAAAACCAATCTCCCAATATTCAGAACAAGCTATCTACAAAGAACCCCTCTCTCTTCTGAGAGTCTTAGAGTCCACTGCAAGAATCTACAGACCATATTTGGGTCAAAAACATGCCACAAGATTACTCAAAGTGCAGACTTTACAAGCTAAAATCACAATATCTGGATGCTTATGTCTTATTGTTTGTCACAGTCTAAGTTTACCACAGCTGATTTTGTAGACAACTTGTTCTTTTGTCTTGCATTGTATACCAGCTCAAAATATCACTTCCTCTCTCTCATGAGAGAGACTGAATCACTGATTTTAAATAACACGTGTGAGTGCACTAGGTTGGCAGTGGGAACACTGCTATTTTAATAACCAGATCAACTTATATAACTGAGACAAAGGCTATGGCTACACTACAGTTTAAGTAGACAAATTGTGTCACTCAGGTGTGAATTAGCCACCCTCCTGAGCAACATAACATGCACACTTAAGCACTGGTGTGGACAGCGTTATGTTGGCAGGAGAGCTTCTCCCGCCAACATAGTTACCACCTCTTGTGGGGGCTGGAATAATTAAGCTAACAGGAGTGCCCTCTCCCATCAGCTTAGAGTGGCTACACTAGAGACCTTACATCTTACTGATCATAAGTACTGCACTAATCATTATGTAATGCACTAAGCAGCAAAGTGCTAGGCTCATACAGGTATCCAATGGTAAGTTTTCCATCCAATTTAGAAGATACACATCATTGGCTGTATAGCTGAGCCTCAGGAGATTATTCACTTCCTATAATAGGAACTCAACAGAGTACACTGCCAAAAGAGAGTAGAGATCTCCTTGTTAACGTAGTAGCACATAGATACCACTCTAAAATTAATTTTAAAAATGTACTTCAGATCTTTGAAGTGTGATCAATAGTGCAGTGATAAAATCCCACTGCAAAGAATCAGATTTCACATTGTCTTGATCTTAACTTCCTTGTTATTATTAGTTACAAAACCGCACCAGATTGATGTACCAACTTAAATCATCCAATCTCTTAACAGTGAATGTGCACAAAATTTATAAACAAAATTCACTGGTACTTTGACAAAAACTAAAATAAAAAAATATCACTACGTTTGTAAGGTGCATTTGAAAACATTACATAAATGCTAAGAATTACTATTATAACTACAACACCAGTTCTAACTCGAGAAAAAAACCTCTCTTGAATTTTTAAGGGGAAAATGTTTTATTTTTATAGCATTTCCATTTTCACTATGCTGGTTAAGGTAGTTGTTTGGAACATAAGAATGGTATATTAGAACAATGTAATCTACCGCTATACCTAATGAGTCAGTAGAAGGGAAAAATCTCATTGATCCTAGCCAATTGCACAATCTTATACTATGGGGGAAAACATTTCTCTCTGATCTCAGCTGCTGATTTATAACTAGGGCCCTACCAAATTCATGGCCATGAAAAATGCGTCACTGACCGTAAAACCTAGTCTCACCCCATGAAATCTGGTCTTTTGTGTGCTTTTACCCTATACTATACAGATTTCATGGGAGAGACCCGTGTTTCTCAAATTGGGGGTTCTGACCCAAAAGGGAGTTGCGGGGGGCTGAAAGGTTATTTTAGGGGGGTTGCAGTATTGCCAACCTTACTTCTGTGCTGTCTTCAGAGCTGGGTGGCCGAGGAGCGGTGGCTGTTGGCCAGGTGCCCGGCTCTGAAGGCAGCGCCCCGCCAGCAGCAGCACAGAAGTAAAGGTAGCAATACCACACCATGCCACCCTCACTTCTGTGCTGTTGCCTTCAGAGCTGGGCAGCCGGAGAGTGGCGGTTGCTGATCAAGGGGCCAGCTCTGTGGGCAGCAGCGCAGATGTAAGGGTGACAATACCATACCATACCATCCTTCCTTCTGTGCTGCTGCTGGCAGCGGCTCTGCCTTCAGAGGTGGGCTCCTGGCCAGCAGACGCTGCTTTCCAGCTGCCCAGCTCTGAAGGCAGGGCCGCTGCCAGCAGCCGTGCAGAAGTAAGGGTAGCAGTACCGCAACCCCACGTACAATAACCTTGTGACCACTCCACAGCTCCTTTTTGGGTCAGGACCCCTACAATTACAACACAGTGAAATGTCAGATTTAAATAGCTGAAATCATGAAATTTACAATTTTTAAAATCCTATGAGTGTGAAATTGACCAAAATGGACTGTGAATTTGGTAGGGCCCTATTTATAATGTCCTGAAAAGATATGATATAACCCTTGTAATTCTTACCCTGTTGATTCAGAGTTTATACAATTTAGGCCTAATGTGCTCCAGGCTAAATTTGTGAACAACCATCTAGGGGCTGTAGGATGGTACAGACTTTTAAGGAAAACATGCACTTAAAATGAACCAACAATGATAATTGTCCCTATTGCAGTTATTACTTTTAGGGTTCCAGGTTATACTGTATTCAGTTTTCTCTTCAAACGCATCAATGTACAGCAACTGTCAGTCTAACAAGGGAGCTGTTTTCTGTTTGTTCAGATCTTACCATTATCACCGAGAATTTAAAAACATTAATTTCAAAGGTTTCCCTGAAGATGCTGTTAACTGACTAGATATATTCCCAGAAAGGGGGAGGGGAAAAGAGGTGTGGAATAATATTGGCACTTAGAATTGGTTTGCATACAAGATAGGTGTGATCGGTCAAAGCAGGGTCACTGGTCTCTGAAATAGGAAGTGCTCAGTTAACATTATAATGAGCCAATAACAACTGTAGACTCTCAACGAATTTGAGACATAAACCAACAAAAGCAAAGACATTCTTAGTCTAGTTTAACGGAACTACATGCTTTTGAAGCAAGTCTATCTTCAATACGAATTTAGTTGGTTTTGTAAGCTTGAGTGACCAGCTTTCAGGCCTTGTCTGTTAATATGTAATAGGGACAGTATTCTTCAGCCTTGCACTTTACCTTTGTTACTAAAAACAAAAAAGAAATAAGGGGACATAGATGTATATGTAAGGCATAAAGGTATCTCAGTAAAGATCAAGCTCCATCAGATTACTATATCCACAGAGGCTGATACTAAATAGTCCTGGGCAGTCAGCTTCAGATTAGAAACAAAAGGTTTAGGGACAACCTAATACAAGAGAGGGGATATAAAACTGGTTAGCAAGTTCAAATTTAGCATCCCCACATAAAGATAAAGATAAACCGAGCATGGATTAATAATGACTGTGCAGATTAAAGTCAAGGGTACGGGCTTTAGCAAAGAAAGAGCACCACATTATTTTATGCTCAAAATTAATTTACTGTCCATAAAAATGCTACAGTAAAACCACAGAGTTACAAACTGCTCTGGAATGGAGGTTGTTTGTAAATCTGAAATATTAGTAACTCTGAACAAAATGTTATAGTTGTACTTTTAAATGTTTACAACTGAACATTGACAACACAGCTTTGAAACTTTACTATGCAGAAGCAAAATGCTGCTTTTAACCATCTTAATTTAAATGAAACAAGCACAGAAACAGTTTCCTTACCTTGTCAAATCTGTTTTTTAAACTTTCGCTTTATATTTAACACTGTGCTGTACTGTATTAGCGTTTTGTATTTGTCTCTGCTGCTGTCTGATTGCGTACTTCCAGTTCCAAATGAGCTGTGTGGTTGACCAGTCAGTTTGTAACTCTGGTGTTTGTAACTTTGGGGTTCTACTGTATAGACAAAACATTTTAGGAAGTATTCAAATATTTTTTCTAAGTTTTTGGATGACTCTAGAAGACATGGGACTTTTCACCTCTAAGTTAAAAGTTGATTTAGGAACAGCTTGTTCATGAGCCATCTGATGGCTGGTCAGTATTCTCAACCTCTAATCTATCAACCACTACTAGTGGCCTTTCAACTGGTCCACAAAAGTAATCATTAAAAACCATGTACTAATGGGAGGTAAACTCCAGGAATAGCCACTCTCAGAGAAGGAGAAAGCTTGTGTTGAGGTTTATATTGTTTTATTCTTTTGAATTATCAATAAAGTCAAACCTCAGGCATTTGTCTGAACATTAGCTCATGCTTGGCGTGTTGAGGACAGGATAGATATGCATTCTCTCCAGAGTTATGGAGAACACAATCTGAAGTATTCTCAAAATAACTGCAAGGCTTGTAGGGTAACGTTTACACAGACTGAGGCAATGAGCCTCCCTGGCCCAGAGCAATGGGCTTAAGCTAGTGGGACTCATGTTAGTGCTCTAAAAATAGCAGCCTAGACAGCTCTCTGAAGTTGCGGGTTGGGCTGGAACTGAGCCTTTGAAGCCCAGGGATAGGGGTGGGCTTCAGAACCCGAGCTACAGCCTGAGACACAACTTCAAAGCACTGTCTAGGCCAGGGGTCGGCAACCTTTCAGAAGTGGTGTGCCGAGTCTTCATTTATTCACTCTGATTTAAAGTTTCGTGTGCCAGTAATACATTTTAACGTTTTTAGAAGGTCTCTTTATAAGTCTATAATATATAAGTAACTATTGTTGTATGTAAAGTAAATAAGGTTTTTAAAATGTTTAAGAAGCTTAATTTAAAATTAAATTAAAATGCAGAGCCCCCCAGAGCGGTGGCCAGGACCCAGGCAGTGTGAGTGCCACTGAAAATCAGCTTGCGTGCCGCCTTTGGCACGCGTGCCATAGGTTGCCTACCCCTGGTCTAGGCAACTGTTTTTAGAGTGCTAGCGTGAGCCCAAGTCTGTCGACCTTGGCTGGGAGACTCGTTGCCACGGCCTGCGTACACATACCCTAACAAAGAATACAGAAGTTTAAAACAAGAAGCATAGCAATGTTTGCAAGGATAATTCAGTGAAAGCAATATCTGTCCTGAGAAGCGAGAAAGAATAATTTTCAGAAGTCATTTGTGATTTTAAAGAATTATGGGTCTTTCTTCCCAGTAATATTACAGTTGAGGTTTGATGGGGGGGAAACTATTTGTTTGGGCCATATTGATAAAGTGACCCTCACATAGGGATGTGCCCAATCAGGGCAAAGTAATTAAAGGGCTTATTACCTGATTAACGTATAAATCATGCCTTTAAAATCTGCTTCTGAACTTAGGGAGCATTTATTGTCATTCACATGGGGTTGTCACTCAGGCTGGAGAATTGGGAAAAAATAGTAATGGAACTTCAGAGAAAACATCTAGGGAAGGCAGTTAGAGTCCCCAAAACAATGAAAAGCAATACTATCTGAACCTGAAAGCCAACACCACAAGTTTTTTCCCATTTACCTCTAGACCCACTTAAACCTTCATTGACTCGGACCTGTTTTTATTCTTTTAGTAAAATGGGAACAAACATAATCTATAAGTGTAATCACCATTAACAAAAGCAGCTGCATAGCTGGCTAGTTGTACCCTCTAATAGCTCGACCCCATATAGAAATTATTGAGTCTGCTACTGCCTGTGAGCTAATGAGCCTGGTCCTTTAGCTCAAGAAATACAGCCTCATGATTTTACATTCAGCGGTGTCCTGGGTCAGTCCTCAAAAACAACCAAGTATTACAGAAGGAAAAATTACAAAAGAGTGTCCTTTCAATACCATTTCTTAACCTCATAAAAACTTGCGATAATGCCAGCCATCAAGCTCTTGGAGGCTCCTGAAAAACATTGGTTTCCCAGATACGATGTTCAAAATCAGGAAAGAACTCTCTTATGCAGGGGCAGGCAAACTTTTTGGCCTGAGGGCCGCATCGGGTTTTGGAAATTGCATGGAGGGCCAGTTAGGGGAGGGGGTTGTGGCCTGGCCCTCCCCCCCCGGGACTCCTGCCCCATCCACCCCCCCGCTCCCTGTCCCCTGCCCGCCCCCAGAACCCCTGCCCGACTGACCCCTGCCACCCATCCAACCCCTCCTCTCATTCCTGACTGCCCCCCGGGACCCCTGCCCCCATTCAACCCTCCTGTTCCCCGCCCTCTGACCACCCCGACCCCTATCCACACCTCTGCCCCCCGACAACCACCCTGAACTCCCCTGCTCTCTATCCAACCCCCTCCCCCCGCTACCTGCCCCCTTACCGCGCTGCCTGGAGCACCGGTGGCTGGCAATGCTACAGCCATGCCGCCCAGCTGGAGCCAGCCACGCCATCACCACCGCGCAGCACAGAGCCGGGCTCTGCAGCTGCGCTGCCCCAGGAGCTCACAGCCCCGCTGCTCAGAGCACTGCGCCGATGGCGCAGTGAGCTGAGGCTGCCAGGAGCTCAGTGGCGGGGCAGGAGGGTCCCGCGGGCCATCGTAGTTTGCCCACCTCTGCTCTTATGGCATGATTGTATGAGTCTGTTCAGAGAGAACATTAGCTGATTCTTCCTGCCATTACAAATCATGTTAAATGTGGAACACATCACTCCATTGTTATCTGGACTTTCTCCAGAAATGTTCAATGAAGCTGCGAAGTAAAGATTAAATTCCATTAAGGTAAATTATATCTACCTCAAACAGGTAGATGTTTTCCCATTAATAAACAACAAACGTCACCAGTGTACATACTGTTCCTGCTTGGTTTTTAAACATCTATTTTAGTCAGCTCATGCTCGAGGGATGGGATAGAATAATACATTTATCTTTATATTCACCCTCCCTTTGTGACTGTTCCTAATGATAAAGGATTAAAACGGGGGAAGTTGGCAGATCACTGTTAGACCATCGACTACATACTATATTTTAACAAATAAATACAAATAATTTCTCCAAACTTAGGCCATAATCCTGCAATTGCAAGTGCAGATCTTAGCATCCACGTGAAGTCCTACTGACGACAATAGGACTCTGCAGCTGTGCAGGAGTGCATGTTGCAGATCCTGATGCAGCATCAGTGGCAGTTAAATTACAAATAATCCATTCAATAGGTTGCTCCTCTCTGGGGCCGGTGTTTGCCTGGAGCAGCTTGCCGTGACACACACTGAATATTGTGGAAACGTTAATCATTTTATGGCAGGGAGTGTGTGGGTGGGTGGGTGGTGGTAGGCTCGACCAGTGAAGGAGAAGGAATTATAATTGTCTCACCTATGAACTTACTTTACTATTTTTAAACAAAATTCTCTGTTGGTAATAGCCAAAACCCTTGTGTCCTGGTCCTGAATTATTCACCAGAACACTCAGAGTCATGTGGCACTTGGCCCCCTCCAGCCAATTCCCCCTCACAGGAGTATAGATTCTTTTTGTTATTAAATTCAATTTATTTTTAGTATGCCCCAAACATTGTTTACAAAGTGCTGCAAATTTCTGCATCAACAGTGAGTAGTTGCATTATAGAGATTATTAGAGGAAGCTGGAGATTTGGCAGGTGGGTGCCCAACTGTTTGGTCTTCTAGGACCCGGGAAAACAGGAGGTTTTGTTCTTTTGTAACCAGCAGGCAGTTTAGGCTTTTGGTAATGGAAAGAAATGCATCCCTTTTCCTTTTGGAGACAGCAGAGGTGACACTAATTTTGGGGTAGGGAGATAGGAATTATTTTCTCACCTCAGCAAAATTTGACAACTAGCTCTCCCCCCTGTACCCACACTGCTGCTAAAATGTTCAGCAGTGACTTTGTTAGCAATTTTTCCATTTAAGGTATATTATAGTAAGGCTTCAGTGTTAATAGGACCTCGAGATGAGTGGGAGAAGTTCATACCTTTTAGAACTATTGCTTCAAGCTGTTTGCAGACTTGGACAGACATCATTTACACTGAATTCACATTCAACAGTTTTCTTCCCAACTTAATTTTTTAAAAATAAAGCATAGATTCTGGAGTGCAGTTATGTGGTAGTTTATGTGGCTGCATTATACATGGATCTCCTGCTTCTTAGAAACTATAGCATTTCTTTCTCCACAGAATTCAGGATACTGGGCTAGATGGACCTTTTGTCTGACCCAGTATGGCCGTTCTTATGTTCATCCATGCCATGTTATTCTTCTCTGTGTAGCAAAACACCACATTTTATATTGCATGTAGTACTGCAGGCAATATGGCTCCTTTATGGTTACTTCTGTCTAAGTAAAGTATCACCAATACTCTCTGCAAGAATGCAAATAGCTCTTAATAGAAAGCTTGTTAGATAACTGGTGCTGCTCAGCAGTAAAAGCAGTGTACACAGTTTTCAGAAGGTCCTGCAAAGTTGCGGCCACTGCTTCAGTTCGGTGATTTTGTAATTTTTCAGCAGTGGAACGTGGCCATTCTGCCAGCTGAAGATTCCTAATGTTTCAGAGGAAAGCGAAACAGCTCCAGCCTCCACAAAAAACCCAATAGTTCAATACTCTCTTTTGAACCCCACAGGTGGCTAAGTTGACACCCTGAATAAAAACACATTTCGTTTTCCTATATCCTTGTTATGACATTATCCAGTTCTTTTCAACTATTTGCCTCTACCTTCTGTGAATTCCATAGACTGGCATTAAGAAACAATTCCTTTTGTTTTAAATTTACTGCCAATTTTTTTTAATTATAATTTATATTTGAGAGAGAGAGAGAGAGCACATGAAAACAAGTTAGAACAGACATTTCCAAATACCAATTAAAGAGACACTACATTGGTTAAAAAACAATTTCTAAAAATAAACAAGTTTCCTACCTACATTACTAACATCAACTTAGATTATCAAAACAAATAATATTTACACATTTTCTTTTTACTATTTATGCTGTTTGCTCTTTGTATTTCCTCATCTTGGAGAACAACGGTTATTTTTTTTTACTTTTGTTTGTAATAATCTTAAACTTGCTACAATATTTGTATAGCAAATACTGAAAGAAATGTTTGTTAAACAGTTTCCACTAACATATTTTTTAACTTATGGAAAAATGGCCTTCAATTTTGTAAAGGTTTATTTTATAAAACCTAAAATTTTGATCAAATGTGATTTGAAAGTTGTCCATTAAGAAACATGAAACACATGCAGAGGCACAGCAACATGAAAAAAATGCCTTATTTCTAGGGTTAACAGTCTACCAAACACTTTCAAGTCTATTCTTCAAATCAGATAGTAAAAGTGTTTAAGAACATGTTTCATTTCATTTCACACTCCAAAACCCCAGAAGTAAAATCCTTTTAACTCAAAACAAGACAAATTCTGTACCAGATCCCTGTTAAAAACAAACTCTGAATTTCTGAAAAAATAGCAGCTTTGGCCTCAGAGTTACAGCTTTCCGCTGATAGATACTGTGAAATGAAAGATAGTAAAATAAGAAGAATTTTACCAGATGAAAAAAATATGAAAAGTAATTGGTCACACACTCTCTAAGAAACTGCGAAACCACCTGGTCATGTCTAGGTAATGTTCAAATCAAATAAATGCAAGCCAGTAAAATTATATAATGAAAAAAAGATCATATAAACCATGAGACTGAAAATGTTTATTCATGTGAGTAAGTTTACATATGTAAAGCCACAGTTCAGCAAACTACTTAAGCACATGAATAATTTAATTAAAGGCAAGGGACTATTACATGCTTAATGATAAGCGCATGCTTAAGTATCTTGCTGAGCTAAGGCTGAAGTATTTATAGTACAGAATTCAGGCCTAATCCTGAAAGATACTAAACACCCTCTGCAGCCACTGATTTCAGGACAGATCCTTAGACTTCTACATCCCGTTTATAAATCAGGACATGGGGACAGATACAAAATATGCAATGAAGGAAGTGTTGGTTTACAGAGGGTCTTCTTACTTACCAGTGGCTTGACAGAAGAGGTGAAAGGTTCCATGGACACTAACATGCTGTGCCTGGTCACTTAGGAAAGGTGGTAACAACATGACCATTACAAGCTCTGTGCTAGACCAAACATCAGGCATGGTATTGGTGGGTGAAGGAGGTGAATCACTTCCCACACAGGACAAAAAGGAGGTACCAGTAGGAGGGAAAGGTATAGAAGATGAGGCTGTGTGACAGAAGAGGACAGAAAAAAGAGGGCACTAAGGAAAAAAGTTTTAAGAAATACATAACACATTGAAGAAATAATGCAAAAAGGACAAATGAGTTTTAGAAGGATGACAAATGAAAATCACTAGATTCCTAGAAATGAACTCTATTCACTCTCTACCCCCTAGGCATTTAAAGCTGAAGAGAAAACCTATGTGAAATTCATTACAGAAGTCTCATTAAAGAAAAGCAAAACTTAAGGCTTTACAATATTTAAAGTGGTTTCACTATGTACATTGGATGAAAATCAAGGATATACTACAACTTATTTTAATATTTATTCTGTTGCTTTTCATATGTACATAATTAAAAATAGAAAAATAAAACCAAACTGAATCTTATAAAATATAAACTGTTTACACTAAGATGATCTAAATTATATTATGTTTGAATGAGAGGTCAACAAAAACAACAACAAAAAAGAAGCCTGGGCATACTGCTATTTACTAGGACAATTCTATTTCTAACAACATTTACAGAAAGACACTGTGGAAGAAACAATTCTTAAAGAACTGTACCGCACAAAAAACTTTTACAGACAAATAGTGCCGCTGTGAACCAGGTTTAGAATGCTTGTACTTTTTCACTTGCAGGCATGATTCATGTGACAATTCAGCTAACCAATTCTTTTGAGCAACTCCAGTTTCAGTCTCCAGTTGCATACGAGATTGGTAGAAGTTAACCAGACATAGTGAAAAATTGTTATTAAAGAGAAGTTCAGTTACTTTTGAGTATAAAAAAACTGCAATATTGTCTTGTCTAGCTAACAACTGCAGCAAGTTTACCCCATCCAATTATTACATCAAATTCTTCTAATAAATTCTGTATTGGTTCCACAGTGCAAAAACCTCTTTGAGTGCCATGGCTAAGTGACAGCTGCTTCCTGTGCCATTTCACTTAAAAAAAATAAATAATAATAATCCAGTTTTATATAGCAACAGAATGCGATGGTGTCCATCTTGTTGGTTTTTTACTAAATCTTACCTATGCTCCTGCAATCCCAAAAAAACATCATCTACTCAATTGACTGTTGTACCTAAATTTCTAGAAAGCAAAAAGATAGCACTTAAAGCAAAGATTATCCCTGAGAATATTACACAAATCAAACCAGCTCTTTCCCAATGTACATTTAATTCTAAAAGGTACACAAACAGCAATTTTTTAAAATTAATTCTTAAACCAATCAAAGCTACCCAACTTGCCAACAGACTCAAAATGTTATACTAAGCATAAGAATTACTAGAAGCAAAGAAATGTCCCAATCCGGACAAAATGCTATAATTTACCAATCTGATAAACTAAACTTCATTTCCAATTTGGAATTAAAATGAAATTAGTTCTTTTTAAATGGCAGCTAAAATATGTGCAGACTGGAAGTATTTTATTTAGCTGATTGCATTAGAGAGTCATTTTTATTCTATGGAAGAAAAGGGATTAAATAAATCAGTAACTGCATTTGCAATGGTTAAAAGTACTCTGAAAAATCCCGGAACAAACATGGTGATCTGCAACTGGCCATTTTTTAAAAACCATGAAATACGATTATCGGATACACCAGAACATCGTTTTCTATTCTAGCAAGATTTGAAATTGGCGCGCTGAATCTTTTAAGCGCACATAACCCTCTATGGCTAAGTTGTCACATCCAAAGTATCCGTGCTCAAATAATTAACTGTAAGAACCACAGTTATTTTCATGTGGAGGAATTTCTCCTTCAGTCACCCTCTGCATCTGAGTCAGCATATTTTAGTTCACACTTAACATCAAAAGGTTTGTCCTTGACTTCTTTGTGAGCCTGCGAGAAGACATCATCATGTTGAACCTGGCCATTTCCACAATCTGGTTCGGTCTCATATCCAGTGTCATGAGCTGGCTTTGGCTGCTCTCCAGTTTGATTCTGGATACTGCCTTGCTCCACTAGAGTTTCTTTTACACTTTGCTCACAATCAGAAAAATCTGATTTGGGTTTTTTCTTACCAAGTAACATAGCAGAGCGGAATTTTAAACACTGGTCTGGTAAATAGCCTTTGTAACAGTTGTAGGACAACAGACTTAGGAAGAGAACAAAAAAGAACAGAAAAAGAAATATTAAAAGGAAATTATCATTTGACTTTAAGAACATTGTCTTTTCAGGGACTCCATCAGGAACAGAATTGAAGATTTCAGGGTTGGAGGATGCACTTGCTAGGATGGGGCCGATTGGCTTTGTTATTATCCTTCCTGTTGTTATTGGTATAATCTGGGTGGTCGAAGTTTGAGCAGTAGACCCTTCTGTTGGCACAGTTGACATTTTTGGTACATCGGTATTACCTTCTGTCTGTGCTGCTGGTTGGATTGGACCCACTGTACTAGGCTGGATTTTTTTCAGTTCCAAAACATGTTTAGCCACCACTTGAGAAAATGTCTTATTCTGCACTTTTTCTTCTGACAAACACTGATAAATGCCACTATCTCCTTCTGATAAATTGAAGATGAGCAGTGCTTTCTCCAGAAGATGATACTTGGGGCTCGCAACTTTCAATACATCATCTTTGAATTTCCAAACTACCTGGGCCAGGTTGGATTTTTGAGAACATTTGAGTTCTGCTGTGCTCCCATGCTTGAATGTATGCTGCAGAGAATTCTCTCTTACTTTATCTGGAACATCAAAATAAATTTGAAAAGTATCAGCAATGATTTTTGATTGCATTAATCCCTATAGTTTCATGATTCTGTAGTCATAAAGGAAATATAGAGTTTACTCCATGAAGTCTACCTCTATTCCTCAGTTTGAAACAGGATTACATCACCACCAACTAGGTACTTTTTAGTTCGCGCCAGCGGGGTCTACACAGGACAGTTAGAGCGCAATACTTCAGAGTGCTCTCCAGGTCACACCCCCATAGTCCAGACTGTGGTGATGGGTAGACAAGCCCCTAGGCCATGAAGACATTCAAAATCTGAACAAACCAGCAAACAACAGCTATGCCTGAGATACTGAAGATACGGAGGGATATAAAACCTCAGGCTTTAGGATTTACACTAACTTCTTAACAATTAAGAATTAGGATTAGGCCTTTACGGGGTAGATTATCCCACATCTGCCTATTAAGGAGTGTCTTGCACCTTCCTTTGAAGGACCTGATGCTAGCCACTTTTAGAGACTGTCAGGATATTGGCCTAGGTGGACCACAGGTCTAATCCCATATGGTAATTGTTATGTGTAAGTAGTACATTTTTGAGTACATAAATATTGTAAGCATCTAAAAGAAATCTATACATATGATATTGATATTACTCAGAAATACCACTTCTCAGTTGTAACACTAACCCCCCCCACACCAAAACAAAACAAAAAACAATTAAAAAAACAACTAACAAACACAAAACATACAGCATGATAAAACTAATTAATTAGCAAGCAGCATTCTTATAGTGGTCCATACAGTGCTTGATTTAATAATACACATGTTAACGTAAACCCTGTGAAAGCCTCATCTACTATAATGTAAGTCTCTTGGAATCCTATTTCTCCCCAAGGATTCCTTGATGTGGTGACAGCAGCGACACACATTACAAAAAAAGAAAAGCTGTGATTATCTGAGCTTTCGATACACTGGAGCACCATTTCAGCTACTCTAGCTATCTGCTCAGTGGTATTCAGAACCTTTCTCCCAATCAGAAATAAATTTATCTGAAGATCATTTCCTTTGCTCTAACCATAATAATCAGGTATTTCTTAACTGCCATTAGAATTCCCAAGTGACCTAATAAGTACCAAGAATGCAATTAAGGACTCTAATGTAATTCCTTATGGCAAACATCATTCTCATTCATAAGCAGCAGCTGCAGTGGCCCAGGTTCATTTTATTGTTTATTACACTGAATGTAACACTATGCAATGTATGTCTATCAATACAGACATTCTAAGATAATACATATACTGTACAGATGCTCAAATACAATATATAAAACTTAAGTTTAAACACATGAAATGGGAATGCACGTTGAGAAATAAAAATATAAAACACTTGAATAAACATGACAATTTAAATGCATTGCATTTTTTTTTTTATCTCTTTTATAAAAAACAAAACTTACCAGGGCAGGAAGAAGCATCACCACCTATGTTCTGAATCCAATCCCTATACAAATGAATCAAGCATTAAAAGTTGTAATCATATATTCCTCACCACCACCCCATGATTAAAAGGAGCAGGATAATGATGATGCTTAAATTTTGCATACAATCACAATATCTTGGTAGTCAGCTAATAGGAAAGTCAGTGTTTAAAGCTATATTAATGGTCCATGTACACACTGTAAGTAAATTGTTACAGCGTGCTTCTTGTTCATTAATGTCAACTGGACTTTTTAAAATAAAAACAATTATAAATGATAAATAAGGTAACAAATGTAAAAATATTACATAATTTTGTCAGGGAATATTTACACGACAAATGTAGAATTTCTTATTGCTAATCACAGGAGAGACAACAGGTGCTATTACCTTTCAATTTCATCTTCTTTAAGAATATTAATACAGGAGGCTTCATGTGACTTCCAAGCACAGTAGGGATCTCTAGCTAGAACACAGTCAACGCAAGTGCTGTACTTGTCACAGAATGCAACGGGAGACTGAACCACACCAGAATTGGAACCTGCATAGAGATACCTTTTGCCCTGTGGATGTAACAGAGAGAGACCGTCCACAATCACCCTTTGGAAATCATGTAACAAACATATTACATTCATTAATTAACCACATTCTTAGGACTTGCAGGCAGAGAACAAGGACAGCCAAGAAAATGATGGATAGACCATCTACGGGAGGACAGAGTGAATCTGGGGCAAGCATTGGACCAACAAGCCTGGAAAATACTGATCCAGTGACCAAGCCCAGTTAGCTGAGAAAAGGGGAGGAAGGGGCAGAAGAAGAAAATTAGGACTTGATAGGGCATATTTTAAAATACAGATATATAATAGTAGAGGACTGGTGGGAGATGAGGGAAGGAGTACTTTGTTTTGAATAGTATTTTAAAAAGGCAAGGAAGTTGTCTCAGCGTGAGGGTGTCGATTAGATGATCCCTCAAGGTCCCTGGCAGCCCTACATTTCTATAATTCTATGATCTTGACAGTGTTCAATGACTGGAAAAATGAGGGGAAATTGTGAGAGTTATGAGAGCTTGTAATAGGAGTAAATATTCAACTTTAACCCTAAGAGTTATCCATAGATTTAGAGCTGGGGAAACAACAGATTTTTCGATTCACTGGCAATTCCAAAATAAAAAAATTTGTTTCAAGTCAAACACTACATTTTCTTTTGACAAAATTGAAATGTTTTATTTAAATTTCAACCATTTTAAAATGTTTTTGATTTTTTAAGAAAATTTTAAAACACTTTGAACCAAAAAAAAATATCAAGAAGTTTTGTTTCAAAAAGGTCAAAACAAAATGTTCACATTTTTTTCAGAATATTTGAAGGTTTGGTAAAACGGACATGCATTAGCAGTATTGTTGAATCTGCATTTCTGAAAAAAGTTTCAGATGAAAAATTTCACTCAGGGCTGTGCATGCAAAGCCCATGCTGCTGAAGACTCCAAAAAATGGGAATGGAGGGTTGGTCGTGGGATCCACACTGATGATAACATTGCAAAGACTCACAGTTACTACAGGGTAAGGTAATTGTTGTCTCTTCTGAGTGTGTCACAGTGTGAATCCCACTGCAGGTGACTGGCAAGCAGTATCCTTCCTGGATGGTGGGAGTGAGGAGTTTCAGTTGCATTAGACAAATAACTGAAGTACCACTTTCCTGAACTTGGCATCAGACATGGTTGCTGTGTCACAGACATAATGTTTAACAAAGATCAGTGGGTTGCTCCACGTTGCTGCCCTGCAGTTCTCAGATACAAACACATTCCTAAAGCAGGTCAAAGATGCTACATGTGCATTGGCGGAGCATGCCTTGATATTCGGAAGGAGAGACTCAGCAGGTATCTGACAGCAGGTAGAAATGCACTGTGATCCACTTAGAGAATGTCTGTGATGAGATGGCTTGGCCTTTTGATGGGCTGGATATGGTCACAAGGAGGCAGGGAGACCAGCCTAAAAGGCTGGTTAAGCTCTGTTAGGGTAATATAACAAGGCTCTTGAAATGTCCAACATATGTAGCTTCTTCTCTCCTGGGGCTGAATGAGGTTTCAGGAAAGACTGGCAGGTTAATTGACTACTTTAGGTGAAATTATGAGACCACATAGGGATGAAGTTAGGATGTGGTCTCAGAACTGTCCCTATGAAAAGAGGCATTCCTTCCTGTTCTGCAGAATGCCACAGTGCAGATCCTGATGGATTACACATCTGTAATGCACTACATAAATAAGCACACAGGTGCTTGTTCATCCCCTCTCTGCCAGCAGGCCAGCAGACTGTAGACTCGGTGTCATCACCATGAGGTAACCCCACTGGCTCTGCACCTTTCAGGAGTCAATAACAGTCTGGCAGACTTCTTAAGCAGACGTATACTGACATGGGCACGAATGGTCACTGCAGAATTCCATCACAGAACTGATATTTTACCATTGGAGGACTTCTACAATAGATCTGTTCATCACAGAGAACACCACCAAATGTTTTAATTTCTGCTCTAGAGGGGGCATGAGACTGACCACCTTATCAGACACCTTCTGCTACAGTGGTCTCCAGGCCTCCTATATGCCTTTCCCCCAATTCTCCTGATCTTGAGGGTAATAGCTAAGGCTACTCCAGACAGGCTATGTTGATTGTGATAGCTCCCTACCAGCCTGACAGTTTGGATGTTGGCTGGCTGAGTACTACGCACAGGGACCATTCTCGATAGATCTGAGAAATTCTTATGCTGCCCAGGAAGCCATCTGCTAGGAAGACTTACTCCTCCAAATGGAAATGGTTCTCCATATGGGCACTCCAACATAATATAGACCTAATAGAGACCCCCACATCAAAGATCCTCAAGTATGTGCAGCATTTGAAGCATGCTAGATTGGCATTTAGTTCTCTCAAAGTCCACCTTCCTGCCATATTGGCATGTCACCATTCTGATTCAGTCATATTTGGTCTCACATCTGATGGTATCAAGGTTCCTCAGAGGCCTCCTGATACTTACCCACCTGTCTCCTATGTGGAATCTCAACATCATCCTCCTGAAATCCGTGAAGCCTCTGTTTGATAGATCACCTTACTCTCAAGATTGCCTTTTTCTGGTGGCTATCCTCTCAGCTTGAAAGGTTAGCAAGCTCCAAGCCCTTATGACTAGACCTCCTTACAATGGTCTTAGGCTCTAGGACGTTCATACGTACATTCCAATAGTTCTGAGACCATATCCCCTGCATCTGCAGATGGTTCTGGTGGGTTCCCCAATCTATCCCCAAGGTGCCTGTGATGAGTGTCATAATCAAGAAGGGGGCAAAGAGGGGCAACCCCTTTTGTATATTTCCTGGGCCCAGCTACCAAGTGAGTAGAGTGAGGCTGTGATTCTCTTGATCATATGGTACTTAGACAGAGAGTACACTAATCTCAGCCATAGCTATAAGGGTCGCAGGTGAAGTCTGGCAATTGGCATCACTTACATACATGCCAATATGTGACCTTGTAGCCCCAGACATATCCAACATCACTGCTGGATTTGATTTTACATTATTTGCCATTGACTGGAGAGACTGCAACCTGTTCATTGTCTGGGAGAAAGGGCAATCCTGGCCAGCCTGGAAATTGTCAATATGTTGAATATATACAATTCTTCTTATATGACAGATGTCTCCTCTCTAGCAGCTCTACAACTCTCCTAAATTCTTGAAACAACTTTAAACCATCCAGCACTGACACCAGTACAGAGGACACTACCTTGTTGGGTGATAAAGAGAGATTTTTTGGTGGTTGAGTGGGGCCAGAGCAGCAACAACCTCCTGCGTCCAGTTCTTGGTAGCCCTCTCTCTCCAGGTCTGGCCAGGGATACTGCTGGGAACAGCATCCTCTTCTTAGAGAGTGTAGTGGAGATTGGCTCCTAGAAGCACGAGGAGGGACACCAGTAAGCCCACTAGGACTATGGCAGCATGCTGTAAGGCTACTGCTAGCTTGTTTGATATTGGCCAATGCAAGGCCTTTCCCGATTGGCCTGGTTGAGCCCAGCTGACTGGCCTTTTGGTGATGTTGCCCTTGGATCTCAGAAGAGAGGATTCTCTGCTTAAAGAAGGCAAGAAGACATGCCCGGGTGACAGGGAGAATAAGTAAATCTCTTCTAGAGACAATGCTAAGGTACATGGCACTCTCATTACAGGGTCTGCACTGGTACCGAAGATGGTCCTGCTTTCTTGCAGGGGCATGTCAGTTAGCTTTATTTCAGTTGTAGAGGTCGGTATGGAAGGTTGTGTCACTGGTACTGGGACTGGTGTCAGAGAAGTTTTTTTCTGCGTCGCAGGCTATTCCTAATCACCAGCCTTCAGCGCTGTGGGGGATTTTGTTGGGTCTCTCTCCTAGGGATTTAAGAGGTCCGTCTTTGTGCAAAGACAATAAGCTCCACCTGGATTTTCTGGCTCTGTGTTTAGAGAGAGCCTCTTGGAGCTGGGCTTCAGTACCGGTGGTGTTGGTGCCAAGTGCACTCTGCTTTGGTACTGGTAATGTTGATGCCAATGCGGGTGCCAGTCTTTCCTTGATGTTGTCTTTTCTGAGCTGGTCTTGGGCACCACATGTCTACTAGATGAGGTGCTGGTAGAAGCTGCCTTTCTCTTTGGCTCTGAAGACACAGTCATTGATTGTTCTAGTAGACAAAACTTCAACTGCATGTCCCATGATTTACACGCCTTCACAGAGAATGAGAGGCATGCTAAGTATCTATGTAGCACATGGGACTCTCCTAGATAGAAGAAGCATCTGCTGTGCTCATCTTTTAATGGGATTAGTCTGTTGTGGAAAGGGCAGGCTCACACGCTTATAATCCACCATATTGCGGTACCCTGTGCAGGAGAGGGGTGTTTATGGGGGTATGACCATACAAATTCAGTCCAGATAAGTCTAGTCATTCACAGCAGTTCTAAAGAGTTTGGGCAAGAAGAGTTCTGAAGACGTTTGGAAAATTTAGCTAGAGTGGGTTAGACAGTTGTCAGGTTTCATCTCACTGCTCCAGGCAGTATCGGGGAACTGGGAGAAGGTTGCACTCACTCTGCCCCTTATGCTTTTGCATAGGAGAATGAGTAGACAGTGCCCATGCATGACCCTGACAGACACTGCTGTTCAAGAGACTCCAATCTCATGGGCATGAAGCGCATGCACGTCAAGAGTTGGATCCACGCTGACACTCAAAGAACCAAAAAGAAATTAGTGAGAAAATTGTGGGGGCAAATGGAACAGGAGACATGAATATAAAGAAAGACAAAGGAAACATTTAATGTATATTCCCTCTGTGTGCGTAATGGTTACCATTAAAAAACGTCAAGCATTGCTAACAGTTACTGCACATGGATGTTTGAGTTATTATTTTATTTCCCTTTACTTAGTGATGGAAATAAATACAGTATCTGTTGGTTAATACCGGCAGACTGGCAACTGGTGTGTGTGTGTGTGTCCATTTTCCATTGTATCCGATAAAATTAAACACAGAACAACCCCACTTTTGAATATTACAATAAAGTTATTTTATATTAATTTACAAGTTTTATTTTAATAAAATAGTTTAATACAATATTGTAGCATATATTGAATTAGAACATAAGAACAGCCATATTGGGTCAGACCAAAGGACCATGTGCCCAGTATCCTATCTTCTGACAGTGGCCAGTGCCAGATGCTTCAGGGGAAATGAACAGAAGAGGACAATTTTGAGTGATCCGTCCCCTGCTGTCCAGTCCCAGCTTTTGGCAGTTGGAGGTTCAGGGACACCTGGAGCATGAGGCTGCATTCCTGACCATCTTGGCTATTAGCCACTGATAGACCTATCCTTCATGAACTTATCCAATTTATTTTTTCAACCTAGTTATTTTTTGCCTTCACAACATCCCACGGCAACAAGTTCCACAGGTTGACTATGCATTGTGTGAAGAAGTACTTCATTTTGTTTTAAACCTGCTGCCTATTAATTTCATCAGGTAACCTCTAGTTCTTGTGTTATGTGAAAGGGTAAATAACACTTCCTCCACACCATTCATGATTTTATAGACCTCTATCAATTCCTCCCCATTTCTTTTCTAAGCTGAAAAGTCCCAGTCTTTTTAATCTCTCCTCATATGAAAGCTGTTTCATACCCCTAATCATTTTTGTTGTCCTTCTCTGCACCTTTTCCAATTATTTTTTGAGATGGGGTAACCAGAACTGCACACAGTATTCAAAGTGTGGGCGTACCATGGATTTATATAGTGGCATTGTCATATATTCTGTTTTATTATCTATCCCTTGCCTAACATTTTCTAACATTGTTAGCTTTTTTGACTGCCACTGCACATTGAGTGGCTGTTTTCAGAGAACTATTTTAACAGCATTATTTAAATAATTAGCACCCCAACAAAAAGTCATAAAGGCAAAAGGGAAAAGGAAAGGAATTTAAATAAGTGATTAAAAAGATTTTTTTAAATGATAGTTTCTCAATTATATGCCCCATATCATTAAACTAGCTCTTATCTCTCAAATAATTTGAGTGAAAAAAAGAATAATTTTCATTACATTTCTTTTGAGAGTGGAAATCTTATATTGCTTTTGAAATTCTACTTGTGTAATATTTTCCTGTGATGCATCACAAACACATGGAGGATACTGGACAATTACCTAGGAATCTATGGACTTGGAATGCTTTATCACACTGCAGACCTATCCACTAAAACAAAAAGTGGGCTCTCTGCATTTACAAAGTTTCTCTACATCTTCATGAAAAACAGGAAAGCTTTCCAGCGACAGGTGCTGGAAAAACACGGTGTGTAGGGCTCTATGAAAAAGAGGCAATACTGCTGACATGCAAAATGTATTTAAATATCAGACTCAGCACAATAAGGCATAGATTGCCTTTCAGATACAGTGGCAAGCTTCAGGGTACTTACTGATCACCACAAACTGCTAAAGGTTAGGATAATCTTACATTTATAAAGAGCCTTTAATTTCCAATGAGCCCAAAATGTTTACAAATGCAAGCAATTCCATTGACATTTATGGGACTACTACTTCGGGTAAAGATTACATGCATAAGTAAGGGTTTGCAGGGTCATGTCCCTAATTAGTGTACAAACTACATAAAGATGATCATCCATGTCTGTCAGAAAACCACCCATCAATTGCTTGACAGTACAGAGCAAACTACACTAGAGTTTAGGACATGCAGTGAAGAATCTCTTTTCCAGTTGGAACAGCAGGGGAATTTCAGTAGGCAGAATGCAATGATCCATGATGGAATGTGACCAGGACACTGGAATATGACACACCTATTCTTATGAAAAGTCCACTACAGAAAAATCTGGTAGAATTTAAACTAATAGAAATGAATCATAACAATTTATAAAATTTGCAGATGACATCCCTGCTATAGAACTCCATTTGTTGGTTTAAAAATTCCACAGAAAGGATACCATTCCCTTAAATTCTACAGAATTTTTCCATAAGGGGTAATAACTTCCGCTTTACATCTAATCAGAAAACTGGTACCTCCAGAAGCAGCAGAGTAGTTCCTAATATCATGCTGGGGAACTGGTTCTAGTACAGACTCAGGGAGAAGAATGCCACCTACTGAAACACCAGTATCTTTTTCTTCACCGCCTATGCATTCATCCTTAGAAGCGTCCCATTCACGTACCAAACAACCCAGCCTGACTATCCTTATCTGGTGATGTCAGACAGTATCACAGCACAAGATGTTATGGTCACAGGTCCTATCCTATATTCTGAGTATTATTTCAGTGATAGTCAGATTTTCCAGCAAGCCTTTTCTCTTTCTTCAGACTACTGGGGTTACCCCCCCCCTTTTTTTGTTGTTGTTGTTGTTGTTGTTGTTGTTGATCTTCCACAAAATGTCCTCACACAGTCCTGTTCTTCATGCTTACCTTTTTTGATGAAAGCAACAGTGTCTGAACTGGCTCAAAATTTGGGAAAAGTTGTATTTCTTCAATAATATGCATTCCATTTTCATAGCTAATAGCTTTGTGCAGGGCTCCTTTATCTGAAATAGCCAAGCAATACACATTAGTAAGGACCTCAAAGAAGAAGAACTGTGTGTAAAATATGTATGTTTGCTATAGCTTGCAACAATGATCTTCACTAGAAGACTTCATGAACGATAATACTTTGTCTTCCATCAGACAATCTTGAAGTGCACTGTAAACATTAACAAATTAGGCCCCATGACAGCCAAGTAACGTTGGTATTTCAGCCTCCATTTTACCAAGAGGAAAATGATGCACAAAGAGGTTAATGGCCAGGGTATACTCCAACTTAAGTAAGTAGCAGAACTTCTGTTGATTTTAACAGTAGAAGGATGAAATAGAACATTGGAAAATGTCCTTTTTTCCTGCCTGTGGAAATTCTTGACTTTTTGTCAAAAAACCAAAACCTGAAAAATTGTGGTTTTTTTTAATGAAAAAAAATCAAAAGATTTTAGACAAGCAGACACTTCTCACAAAAATTTTTGTTTAGTCAAAAACTCAATCTTCCATAAAAAAAATAAAAGTTTAAAATGGAAAATTTTCAACCAGGCATAGGATTAAAGCCTAAATGGCTTGCTCAAGGTCACACTTAGTAACCCAGTCCATGTCTAAAATATTAGGAGCTGGACCCAGAACCCAGACCTTTTCATATCCAAGTCACATGCTTTAATTTTAGATTATGTTTCTTCTAGCATATTCCTATGATTCAACCATTAGACTAGACTAAAAGAACCATGCCTAAGAAAATTTTCTCTTTAGCAGTTAACCATCATATCCAGTCTATAAAATCTATGGTACAATCTTGTTGGAAGCCTTTAATTGAGAACATATTACATTTAAATAGCAATAGCTATAAATTTGATTTTTTTTTACTCTGATGCAGCCCTTAAAATGTTCCATTAATTATGTTTTCTCACTTAGTTCTTGGAACATCAGTGTATTTTTAGTCTGAAACAAAATACTGCAAAACTTGTTAGTACCTAGGGCACAAAGTACAATTTGAGCAACTGAGCCAAACACAACTGCTGGACTTGGTAACGGAGTTTGTTCAGGACCATGTTATTGTGAATGTGAGAAAGGAAAAATGTCCATCTAGCACAACTGTAGAAGGAAGTGCAGAAAATCTGGATGGGAAATAAAGGGAGAGACTTGATAACACTGACTGAACTGAGTCCATGCCAAAATGTGTTCAGGCCAATTTGGCAACTAAGTGATGATGTGTTGTGCTAACAGAACAAAGGTTTTTCTCATTTTAAAATCCTATTTTGTCCCTAAAAGCCTTCTGTCTTGTCAAGTATGATCCACATGTCCCAGTTTTTAAATCTTTGTAGTATCTGTTTGTGTATTTTTAAATTTCCACTCTTTACTGATTTTTAACCTTAAATCACTAATCTTTATTGCACATCTGAACTAGGCCACTCTCCTTGTGTGGTATATTCATTTCCTAACTGGATCTGTTTCACTAAAAGGAATTGCCTATTTTATTTTGAACTAGAGAAGGCAAGTTATTTGAAGACTATTCATGAAAGTTTGGTTAGGTCAGGCAGATAGGAAGAAGGGAAGGACCCCTCTGAAATGGACATAGACACAGATCAAACAGAGGAAGTTAAGCATTAAAGGAGACACATTTTTATCATGTCAATATCCATACAATGCCAAGAAAAACATAATTTTGTATTCTCCTGAATTTCAAATGTGGGGACACCTTGATTAAAGGAACTAAGATGTACTTAAACACAACAGTAAGAAATAAAAATATTTTGTAATTGTGAAACCTTTGCATCAAAGGTCAGAAGAGCTTTTTGTTGGTTTAAATTAAATATAGCATGAAAATATCCCAGGTGACATTATCAGGCACAACAGATTCTAAGTTGTAGAGACCTACTAGTACAGCTGTGTCTATGTGGTGTGGCATTTTAAAGTCACCCTTTTTCAGCATTACAAAAGAGTTCTGCAGGGAAATTAACTGTAGAGAGGAGGAAGAAGAGCCTCAGACAAGTCAAACACAAAACTATACAAAAAAGTGAACTCACGCCGTAGATTTCTGGGAAACATTCAGATTTCTGTAAATTATGCAACTACCCTTTCAGTTTGATAGATTTGCCAATGATCTTTTTTAAAACAAGGAATGCCCATTTTTGTGACATATACTGAACTGTCAAAGCATGGCTGGGTTTTTTTTTTTGTTTGAAGTGAGAGTCTCTCACTTTTTAAATTCACACTCTTAATTTAAAACAAACAAACAAAAACAAAAAACAAAACAAAAAAAGATGGTCAATGTGAAGGAATGGCTAATCCTGGTCTTTTCTTTAGTTATTTTGATGTTAGATTTAAATATTTATTGGTCCCTGGCCAATCCTATTCTTTTTACAGGCATACGCCCTTCCTCACCTCTTCCCTACATGTGTGTCTTACATATGCAGATGGTACAGCACTTGGTTTCTAAAGACAAAACTGTCTGTTGTTTCACACAGCAGTTACTGGAGATGCCTGGGTAGAGGAGGACGAGGAATACATGTGAACTTCTCCTACCCCTGACGTATTTGTCTCCCTGCAGAGGTTGATCCCCTTCCTACAGAGCTACCTGCTCCCCTCCTTTCCATCTGCCACCAGGAAAACTTAGGGCCTGTTTGCTTCCCTGAGTTTCTTTCAATTCAATCCCTTCTCACACTGCTTGTGGGGGCAGGGGCATACAGGTGCACTGTAGGCTGCTGCTGCTATCTGAAACAGCAGCTGTCTATTACCTTTAGGCAAACAACACTGCCAAAGGGTACTGTTGTTGTCCTTTCCCCTCCTGCTGCTGATACAGGGAAGTCTTCAGCAAGAAATGAAGCTTCAGAAAAGAAAGTGGTCAGTTTGGAGGACCCGAACACATCTACAGTTAAATTGTTTGTGGGATGTATTTTTTAAATGGACCAAGATTGGCCATTTACTCATCATGGCCCTTACTTTTTAAAAAAAGTGGACACTAGTTGGTATGAAAGTATTGTAAGTGTTCATTCTGTTTGCTGACAATATATTTCACCCTACTGTACTAACTGAAAATAGTGTAATGCAAACTCACCTGTACTAATAAACATAACATCATACACACTGCCATTGAGCGCTGTGACTCTGTCTACCACGATCTGTGTATACCTCACATCTCGTTTTATTAATCTGGGTCTGTCCCCTATCGGGGTCACCGAGTCATCCATTAGAGGGTGATCTTTAACAAACTGTAGTGTTTTGTCCGGTAAATTTAGAGAACTCATGTAGTTCGCTGCTCCTGCCTCCTTCTTTATACACTGTCAAAAGAAAAATTGCATCATTTGTTTTTACCATATTGTACACTGTTGACAGCAGCAACACCCGCTTTTTTCCAATCGTATTTTTAAAGTTATAAAACACTGTAGGAACATAGGTTCTGTTCTTTGTTATTTCTCTGTGCAGTACCGAGTACAATTGGGCCCGAATCCTCACCTTGAGTTCCCAGGCACAAAATAATAATAAATAATAAAACTTGTTGTTTCAAATGGATAGCTGTTTTTTAAAAGACCCTATTGACTTAGTATGATTGGGCCATCTGTAAAATGGGTCATTTATTTAACGTACACCTTTCAAAAAGAATGTTTAAGATATCTTTGAAAGAAACCTGATGGCTAAAACTGTGGAAGTGCACCTTTAAATAATAAAACTCAAACATAACTGAACACATAGGCGCCAACTTTCTCCGGCACTGATGGGTGCCCGCGCCCCCGCCCCTTTCCCCGCCCCGACTCCACCCCATCCCCATCCCTGGCCCCGCCCCCATTCCAACCCCATCCCCAAAGTCCCCACCCTAACCCCGCCCCCTCCCTGCCCCATTGGATCCCTTCCCCAAATCCCCGCCCCAGCCCCACCTCCTCCCCCCTCCCTCCCTGCCCCACGAATCAGCTGTTTCGCAGCGCAAGCGCTGGGAGGGAGGGGGGAGAAGCAGGACACAGCGGCGCGCTCGCGGAGGAGGTGGAGGCAAAGGTGAGCTGGAGCAGGGGGGTGGGGCCACGGGGAGCTGTCGGTGGGTGCTGGGCACCCACCAATTTTTTTCTGTGGGTGCTCCAGCCCCGGAGCACCCACGGAGTCGGCGCCTATGACTGAACATAGCTCTCAGCACTTTTTTCAGGTGCATACTCATATTTTACAGCTTCCTGGCTTGCACAAATACCAGTCTCAATTTGTAGAAGGATAAGTGAACAAATATAGTAGGCTTTGGACCCAACCAAAGTATATATTTAAACACACACACACCCAGGTTGCACATTTCTAAGCTACAGTCAGTTTACCACGTCCCTAAAATTAACTAATATGAAAGCAGAAAACATATAAAAGCAGAAAAAGAACGGTAAGGACTCAATCCTATAAACACCTGCTTCCTAGTGAGCAGTCCCACTAAAGTCAGTGAGATGACTCAGAAGAAAGGATGCGCTGCTTGTGTTCCTATTGATCTAGAATACCTTTTACACTACCATAATGTGCTGTGCCATCTATTTAATTATAAGACAATTCATTACCAAAAACTGAAAAAATGCATATGAAAACTGTGATATAAACCAAATCTGTGAGCTATAAATAGAAATCACTTCATTGCTAGATACAAAACTTCAAGATCAATCAATTGGCAATATGGCAGTGATTAAAAGAAAAAAAAGTTTTCTAAGGAAATGGTATCCATATCAGGCCACATATATTAGCTAATGTCCTTCACTAATATTTTCCCTGAATTTTTATAGGTTCGTTCTTAGGTGCAAGAGAAAAAGAACTGCTGTCATCTGAGTTTATCCAAACTTACAGCTCCAGGTCGAGGTTTAGGAATCTCTCCATTGTATCGGACCCACTTTGTATGAGACTGTTCTACTGTGGCACTCTGCATATACTTTCCTTTGGAGAAAACGTCTTCCACAGTAGACAAGTTGTATGCACACACTGCTGACAGCCCCATATTATTCCTAAAATTAAACAGTGGAAAATATTACCATTTTACTGTGTGGTGGTAACCAGAGATTAAATTACATTTCTGGAAAAAGATTAAATTATACTCACAGTTGTGGGGTAAAAACTCCATAAATCACTGGTTCCTTCAAACTTGGAGACTTCAGAATAAAAACATCATTGATAATGTTGAAAATTAAATTCTTATCCGGTGTGGTACAGATCAATCTGGCCTTGAGAAAGGAGGTCCATTTTTTCTGCAAAGTCCTTAATCCTCCTTGGTCCCTCTTTCAGAGGGGTTGAGGGAAAGAGAAGGAAAATGTAAGGTATATGTTCTTTCTTAAACAAAGGTTCAACACATACAACACTTACTGGTTCTGGTATGTAGTATCTAAAACAGTGGCTCTCAAACTTTTTTACTGGTGACCCCTTTCACATAGCAAGTCTCTGCATGTAACCCTCCCTTATAAATTAAAAACACTTTTTTATATATAATACCATTATAAATGCTGGAGGCAAAGCAGGATTTGGGGTGGAGGTTGACAGCTCGTGAACCCCCATGAGCCTTGCAACCTCCTGAGGGGTCCTGACCCCCGGTTTGAGAACCCCGATCTAAAATTTAAATTGAATAGACATGAATAAAAGCAGAAAAGCAATTAAAAGATACAACAACAAACAAACTAAACAATGCTGAAGAGTTTTTTGGATACAATAGAAACAATGTAGAATGCTTTCTCTCAGCACACAAAGATAGTGTTATAGGGCCAAATTCTACTCTCAATTAAGTTGTGCAGATCTATAGTAACTTTGCTGAAGTCAAGGGAGTTACTTAGATATATGCTAATGAGTATAGATTTTCTGGAGGGAAGAAGAGACTTATGACAGCTTCAAAGAACTGTATTACAATAATAGATAGTAAATTGAGCTGAGCACAGAGCTTTAAAAAAAACTCTACATAGGACAACAATTTAAAGTAAATAAAGCTGCATTATAACTGCACTTACAAAAGAAAGAATATTATGTCTATTCTGTGATAATCTCAAAATGTTAGTAACTTAAGATCTAGTCTGGCAAACACATAAACATGTATTTAATTTTACTCATGTGAATAGTTCCATAGGAGTCAATGAGTATTAGGGCCCAATCCTGAAATTAGGATAAGTACCATGAGTAAGGATTTGCAGGCTCAAGGCCTTAAAAATAAGAGAGATCATTCAACTACTGAGAAAGTATGCCCAGAAATATAATGAAATTAGTAGTGTAGTGCCTATAAAAAGTTTCACAATATTCTGGATCTCAAACCTCAGCTGTGCTACTAATCTTTAAAAGCAGGTATCTCAGTCCCAAATCCTTGACAGAATTTCCTGCCCTTTATTTAACACTGCTATGCAGAATATTGTATAAAATATGCTAATGCCAAAAAGCAAGCAAGTATTTTTTTCCTCTTTTTAAGATCGTGTATGTGTATCGATGTGTAACCTACAAGTGGTTCCAAATACACCTCTACCCCGATATAACACGAATTCGGATATAACGCGGTAAAGCAGTGCTCCGGGGAGGCAGGGCTGCGCACTCCGGCGGAGCAAAGCAAGTTCGATATAACGCAGTTTCACCTATAACGCGGGAAGATTTTTTGGCTCCCGAGGACAGCGCTATATCAGGGTAGAGGTGTAGTTAACAGTTAAAAAGCTATTCCAAATGTTATGGTTCTCCCACTTTAAAGCATTGACTAACTGTCAGCAGGCAAAGATCATACTAACAAGACCAATGTAAATTTGCCTCAAGCTGCTGGAATAAAGAAGTCTCAAGGGAAACATTTTGTTATTGCTGTTTAAATTAAATTAAATCAATGTAACAAAAGTTAAAACAATAAAATGTTTTGACCTTACAGAAACAAAATGTTTAGATAATTTCTCATTGCAATTTTGTAAATCAATACATTCCAGCAAAACATTTTGTATTTGTATAATCAGCATCTTCTGTTCCATCAGAAAATTTTCACACCAGCTCTAATGAGCAGAGAATCAACTCAGCCTGCCATATCCAGGTTTAAACACATTAAATGTGACAGAATCAGGTTGCTGGTGGTTGTTTTCTTCCAGGCTATGACACCTTTCCATGGAAGTACCACCTGTCACACCACAATGAAGAAACTAACTACTTCTATGTAAAAAAACCTTTTTTGGCTTGTCTGTAACCATTTAAAAATAACTCACATAAGTCCAAGACAATCATCCTATGGGCTCAGTTCTGCTTCTACTGAAGTCAGTGTAGCCTTTAATGCGCAAAAAAAAAAAAAATTGCTTCTGTGTTGTATAAAAGGGAAGGAAAGGGTAATCATCATCATTACTTTTTCAGCTGGGACACATGCTGAAATCTTACTCACTTCAGTTGTAGAGAGCTTAAAAAAGTATTTGTTCTCACAGGCACCAACAAGGCTGTCTGAGTAACTATATTTAGATACAGAAGACTGATCTGAATATTTGATTTGCTAAGAATAGATCTGACTACTTTTAATATATGTGTAAAACACAATATGAAATATCTTTCATATCTTGCTGATGTTGTCTGGATATTGGTTAAAGCAAGTTATTAGATTGTGTCCCACCTTGCACACTCTACTTATTCTTGGAATCATCAGCTTTCCAACAAATTCATATTCCACAGACATCTCGGTGAAAAAGAAGTACACTTTGTCATCGTCTTCTTCAGTGCTGTTTTGATCTGCTCTTATCACATCAGCAAAAACAAAACTGGGCTCTACGGATACAAATAAAGAGAAGCATTCTACGTTAACTGCTACTTTTTCATTATTTAGTCATTTTCCACTAGAGTTCTCTAGGGCCATCCTTTCTCCCAAACCCCATGTTGTGGGCAACTGCACTCCGTTTAGGAGGCCTGGAAGTGGCTCCTCAATGAGCCCATCAATATAATTCCTACTTAGATAGGGCTGCCGGAGAAATATTTGCATTGAGACTCAAAATGATTGGAATGGAGTTATAGGTTTGCGATCCGAAGATTTCACATGCCCACACTCAACAGTTCGACAGGCATGATCTGAGGCTGCTTGCTTATCTCATCATCTGTCTAGTCACCCTCCCTGGCCAGCCTCCACCTCCTGTGCCAACAAGCCCTGGGGCCAGCTGGAAGAAATGCAAGGTAAGAAGGGGAAAGTGGTGTACTAAGGTTCATGCTCCTTTGAGGTTTGAGTTAACTAAATATGAACCTCAAAGCAAAGCTGCAGGGGTTGGTCAGCTTCCATTTCCTGAAAATCCTTTTATGAGTTGAACCCTATCTGCACAGCCCAATTGAAAATCCAACACACTCGCAAATCCAGCTGGCTTGGAGTACAGGTTCTTCAACTGAACTTGAAAACATGCTGACAGGAGGGTTCCTTATCACCTAATAGTCTGGCTCACCATGACTAAGCAAGGTGAAAGGTGAATGGAGACAGGATAGACTGTACTGCTTCTGGATCATGTCAAAAACTGAATGTCCTTCAGATGATTTCAGAGTCAATGCCACTGAGACTCTTGAAGTCTCAAACTAAGTGTTTCTCTCTCACACACTCAAACAATTAAAAAAGTAAACAAAACACCTTTTTTTCCTAAAAGCAAAATATAGCAAGAAACAGCACCTCAGAGCCATCACAAAATTGCCTTTTTCCTTGGAATATATCTATGGACTTCAAGGTAACTATGCCCAGAGATCTGAACTTTCAGAAGGGGAAAAAATATCCATTTTGCCTTTTTTTTATGTATTAGGAAGAGGTTATAGTGATAGTAAATAGGGAAATGTGGTAGACTTAAAAACTCAACGTTTTCAAAGGAAAAAACCTTCAGTAAAAGAAATTGGTTTAGTTGCTTTCACATGTACTTACCATTAAGCCAAGGTATTGCATATTCTGTTCTCAACGGGCTCTGATGAGAGTTTCTAGAAATAATAGGCTCACTTCCCAAGAAGTTATAGGAAGTTCCTGAATAAAGCTCTCCATCTTTAATATAGAAAATAAAACACAATAAATACTTCAAGCCATACTACTTATTAAGAAAGTAAAATGTACAGAAATATTTCAAGACAAGTTTTCAAGAGAATATATGGTAGTTTAAACCTATCTTGAAGGAAGATGGCAAGAATTTCCTCTATATTAAATTTGACATTTTTACTGCTTATGTTTCCCCTCTGATCTTCTTTAAAGCTGATGTTTTTATATCTATTTTGTTAGTGTTCTAATACAACTTTGATGGCAGAAAATTACCAGGATTGCTCCTGTAGTAATTGTGAACACATCTACTTACAGCTGAATTATATTGTATACATAAAAATATAAATGAACCTAAAATATACCATTGAATTTTTGGAATTTAATAATTTCTTAGAAATTATTCAGAAAAAGTATAGGGTATTCCTCCCAAAGTGAATCAAACTGAATTAATAAGAAGAATTTAAGGAACATAATCCAGTAAGTGTGTTCCTTCTGTTTCCTGTTTCATAATAATTTAAACTTTTCTTTCATGGTCTTGCTATATAAACATACAACCACAAACTTCACTGGTTACCCCAAATGAAGACTTAGTGTGGTTTAACCCTCTGATGATATGTTCATGATCACTGATTTCCCATTAACCTATTCTGTTTGGAGAAGAAAAAGTATTCAGCCCACTTACTATTTACTTGTTAATTTACTGACACGCATGTTTTTAAATTACTTATATTTATACACAGATTCTTCTGCAGTGCAATTTTCTTTCACTGACAGTTTCATCAGATACTATAGTGATGGTGAATGAATGACTATATCAATAGGTATCATCTGCTTGAACTGAAAATCCTAAACATTATTCCCAAAAAAACAAAAATGAAAAAAAGTCTAAAAACTATCAATTGCTGCAAGTTTTATGTTAAAAAATCACTTTAATTATAGAATACAAATATTTTGATGCATGTCTAAATAAGTTGCATATTTTAAAAAAAACAATATAACAAACCCTGGTATTACGTCCTAGTGAAAAGATTAGAGTGTGATGGAGGAGAAAGAATCAATGATTTTGTATTGATGATGTCATTAAAGTTTGAACTTACCAACCATAACTGATGTGTAGCTTTGGGCAGGGTCAAATGGACATCTACCTTTACCATCTTCATTTTTACCTCGGAGTTCAAATGACATTAAGTTCTATACAGAATTAATTTTTAAGTTAAACCAAAAGAGTTACATTCTTTACTTTCTAATTCAAACAATACATGTATGCAGTCAAAGATAGCTGTATAAAAATATAAAAATAAAAGTTTTCTGTATCATTAATATTAAACATCAAAAGACACTTTAAGAGACCATGTAATGAATTAAAAAACAAACAAATAAATCTTTAAGTAATAGGGAGAGGAAATGACCGAATAGCTTGGGAGCACAAAGGGAGGCGGAGGAAAGGGTAGCGGGCGGGGAGAAAAGAGTTCCAGACAGATGAGGAGGCCCAACTGAAAATGACCCCAACTGAAAAGCTGCAGGGAGAGAAGACAGTTACTAGGTGAAGAACGGAAAAGTGGAGAGGGTGGGTCAGAGGAGGTGGTTACAAGGTCGGAGAATTAGTCTGAGAAATGACTATGCAGAGTTTTGAAAACCAGAGATCGACAGGAAGACAGTGAAGCTGTCAGACGATGGATGTGATATGACTCTATTTTTGGAAGTGTGGGAGTAGACTGTCTGCAACTTTATGGACTCCCAGATACTGAGAGCGTAGGGGTTTAGGAAGACCATTAAAATGGGAAAGGAGCAAAAAAATGGGGGACTGCATGAATAAGGACTTCAAAAGAGGCAGAGTCAAAGGATGTACAAATTCTGGCAATGTTTTTGAAGTGCTGATATACAGACTCAAAGACAAGCCACGGTCTAACATAATTCCCAGATTTCTAGAATTGGGAACAATGTAAGATTCAAGTTAAGGGGAGCAATAGTGGAGTTAGAGACATGGAACAGAGAGGATATTTTATTTTAACCTAGAAGAAGGACTTCACTCTGAAGCATTCAGTGATATGAAGCTCAGGGAGAGTCAGAAATGGGTGCCATCCACACAGAGTGTCAATACCATTTAAAACTATGTATTTCAGCTATTGCAAATTTACATCAATAGCACATAATGAAAGCAAAGCCTTAAAGTAAATATGTTTCTGTTAATAACCAAGCTGAATCAATATTTTGTTAAAGGCTTTGTTCAGAAAGAGTGAAGTTAACCTCCAGACTCTGTGGTTATCATGAGACAGCATCACACCCGCTGGAAAACTATGACTGGCACTGGAATTCCAATTGCCTTAGGAAACATAGATTAACTCATCAGGTGTACTTTTACTTAGAGGTACACCTCTACCTCGATATAACGCTGTCCTCGGGAGCCAAAAAATCTTACCGCGTTATAGATGAAACCATGTTATATTGAACTTACTTTGATCCACCGAAGTGCGCAGCCCCCCGCCCAGAGCACTGCTTTACCGCGTTAGATCCGAATTCATGTTATATCAGGTAGCGTTATATCGAGGTAGAGGTGTATATAAAATCATGAGTGGTGTGGAGAAAGTGAATAAGGAAAAGTTATTTACTTGTTCCCATAATACAAGAACTAGGGGCCACCAAATGAAATTAATCGGCAGCAGGTTTAAAACAAATAACCTGAGGAGGTTGTGAAGGCTAGGACTATAACAGGGTTCAAAAGAGAACTAGATAAATTAATGGAGGTTAAGTCCATTAATGGCTATTAGCCAGGATGGGTAAGAAATGGTGTCCCTAGCCTCTGCTTGTCAGAGGGTGGAGATGGATGGCAGGAGAGAGATCACTTGATCATTACCTGTTAGGTTCACTCCCTCTGGGACACCTGGCATTGGCCACTGTCGGCAGACAGGATACTGGGCTAGATGGACCTTTGGTCTGACCCAGTATGGCCATTCTTATGTTCTTTTCTCCAGTTCACCTCATTATTTAAATGAGCAGTTTTAACTGGTTTAAAAGTTACTAATAAGAGAGAATGCATAGTCACACTTACCAGATGATCACAGATTGGCTGAAATGCATTTGTGCCACACACAAAGAGGACATCATCATTCAGCGGTTGTAAGACACGCACATAGTTAAGGCACTCTGTCTGTAGTATAGAAGGAAAAAATAAATCCATTCTGATCAGCCACAACTTCAACATTATAATAGGAACACAGCTGACAACAAGCTATGTTGTCAAGTCTTCCATTGCTACTCATCACGTTCTATCACAAGAAGCATTTCATATGTTTAAAAAAATACAGGGCTAGGTGATATGATCATTACTGAGACCAGAATCCTCTCTAACCGACTCCCTAAGAGCTCTGTTCCTGCAGCACCCAGTGTTATATTATAGGTGTACAATTGTTTCTAATATGCCCATCATCTCCTAAGTGACCAATTTTGCTTCAGAATTAGTATGTTCATAGACAATAGCTAAAATTTGGATTCACTTGGATCTTAAAATTTTGTCTCAAATCTAGTTCAGCTAAAATAGCCTGTCATAATCTGGAAGTAAAGTCTTCAATCTGCCACACATACATGTCATTTAGCTTCAGATTACCATTTCCTGGATTTTTGTATATACAACAGCTTTGATGTAGGCAGCAATCATTATGACAGTTAGCAAATCCTAGTGTGGGAATTTGCCATGTCCACGGGGGTTTCCCACAACCTTGGATGGCACGCTGTAAGCTTAGTGGCTTTTATAGCTTCCTGCAGCCTTTTGGGATGCTGTTGCTGGCAGCCCTCGCTTTACTCAAAAAATAAAGAAACATCCAATTACAGTAATTAGCTTTGGAATGAAACTGGGAGTTTAGACAAAGCTTCAAATGTCAAGGGGAGAGTACAGATTCAAAATGCTGACAACCAATGAGAATGCTTGTTAACTCTGAACACCCATCTGTGTTTATTGACTGGATCAATAACCCCTATCTGTATTGTGAGCCTCATTTGGCAAGTTCCTGTTGGAATTAAAACAGAAAGATACCACCGTTGTTCAAAACATACTGGGGGCTAGAATAAATAAGAATGCACAACATAACAATGAATACACACAGAAAGCCCCAGAGATAGCAACAGAAATCCAGTGAAAAGAATAAAGGGTCAGACAACAGAAATCATACAAAATACCATTAGGTAAATTACATATAGCTAGCATAAAATACTCAGGAACCAACGTAACCTATGTGAACTAGAGCAGTGTTTCCCTAATGGTTGATCATGACTCTCAGAGTAGTCACAAAAGGCAATCGGAAATCACAAGGTATTGAGAGTTTTATTACAGTTCTAAAGCAATTAAAATAAAATTTCCAGAATAACTTTGGGGCAGCCAAAACCTTCAAAATCTGTGAGGTCAAATGTAGTAGACGAGGTAGCAGTAGCAGCTCCACTCCTTTCATGTGAGCACAGGTGACTCTCTCACAATACACTATCACATTCTCCAGCTCCCTGCACACCCTTTCTATTCAAGGGCAAGTGTTCTCTATCACCTCTCACAAGACGCACACACGCACACAGAGTATAGACTTATCAGTGTTCTCATTGATACAGTTACTATAAAAGTAAAAGTAACAAATTTGAGCAGGTTATAAGGAACTGCCAGCCTGAAAAGGTTGAAAAAAAAATGTACCAGACTAAGTAGTTAAAGTGCAAAATTAACTGCTGCAGTTTACAAAACCCACTGCAGGTAAGCATTTGTTTGAAAAAAAAAATTAATTATCCCTTCTAAATAGTTACATTCAAAACACTGCTGAAAATGTTTTCCAGACACAAAATTCATAAAGCCTTACTGAAAGCTAAACGACAAACAAATTCACCTGTTTGGATTTGCCCTTGTCCGCACATTTAGTTTTTTTGTCTTCAGTGACCTTCCAATACAACTGAGGAAAAACAAGCGAAACAAAAACAAGTTCAGTGCACTTCACATTCACCTGAAAGCTATTATTAAGCACAATGCATAATACAGAGAGCAAATGATGTTTAAAAGACTGTCTGCTGCAAATAAGACACTTTGCGAGTAGCTGTCAGGGACCCCTAAGTGTTTGTCTTTATCCTCTGGGGAGGTGGCATTTCTGAATGCATGTGCAGTAATGGAGGTCTCACTTCTCAGAGTTCTATCAAAAGATATACCATGACATTTCTTCTCAAATTATTAATGAAGTTCCCTGTGCTGTGTTTACTACGGAAATAAGATTATGGTAGTTTTAGAGACCTCTACATTAAAAAAGCTGAGGGAAGAATATAATTATTTTTGGGAAAATGTCAATAATTTTTGGACCGTTATGCAGATAAAAGGGCTTCAGTGGCTGTATGTGTCTCCATGGATACTGGACTGTGTCTAGTATATCTATCTCCTTGTGTTTTTCACTGAATATCAATGTGGTTCTGCAGTAGTTTTGCTTCTTAATATGTTTCAGATAGTTTAAATTAAAATGAACAACTGTTAAAGAGGGATCAGTTTTACATGCAGCTGAAGATCAATACCATCACGGGTTATGAGTATTTCCTTACACAACTTTGTGAATTAATTTAAGAATCAGAAGGAATTTTCTCAAGACCATTCTAGGTGAGAAACTGTGCTCTCTCTCTTAAGGTACATCATGCTCAAGGAGCTAATAGAGGAGGTATCTGAGCCTCTAGCTATTATCTTTGGAAAATCATGGGAGACGGGAGAGATTCCAGAAGACTGGAAAAGGGCAAATATAGTGCCCATCTATAAAAAGGGAATAAAAACAACCCAGGAAACTACAGACCAGTTAGTTTAACTTCTGTGCCAGGGAAGATAATGGAGCAAGTAATTAAGGAAATCATCTGTAAACACTTGGAAGGTGGTAAGGTGATAGGGACCAGCCAGCATGGATTTGTGAAGAACAAATCATGTCAAACCAATCTGATAGCTTTCTTTGATAGGATAATGAGCCTTGTG